TAGAGAAGGAACAATGTTTTTATTCAACAAAACCCCTTTAACAACTTCAAACTCTAGACGATGTTTTATGAAAAATAAATCTTATTTATTAATGTTATAGACATTTTAGAATGAAGATTAGATAACAATAACATAAAATGACCTAGTATTTGTCTACAATTTCAAAAAACAAGAATAAAACTTTTAAACAGACAAATTACCTTGTTTGTAATTAACTATATATAAAATCATGATTGTGAGTTGGTTTGAAATATTCTCATATTTATTGAACAATATCATTATTATAGCAAATACATTTTACAATAGGATATTACATCAATTGTACTAAAAATGATATAATATAAGACGTATTGTCACTAAATATCGTTATAAGAACACTTGATATGATAAATACTCTATTACATTGATTATAAGTGTAATTGATGTAATAAGGTATTTATTATCACATTGATTGTTTCTACAATGGATATAATATTTCTTTAAAAAAAAAATTACCACTTTTCCCATACTCACTCTAAGATATTGGAACTAAAACTATGATTTGATTATACGAACCACTCGTCTTGCTTCAGTTTGTTACCACCACAATTCAAGTTCATGAACAATTACACCACGCTGTGTTATGCCATAATAAGTGTTTTTCTCCCACCACCAAGTCATCGTTTCACTATTAGGGAACAATAGGATTAGAGATTTAAGAATTTAATGTACAATTAAGGATTGCACCTGTTCCACTGTTGTTAATAGCAACAAGTCAACCACCATAGTTGTCACTGTAGCACCCACACATCCACGAGTCATCAACGCAATATTTACCTATATGAGACACCATCGTAATAGGAAAAACCTTCGCAAGTTGTAACGTATCTGTTAGCCTTTCAAACATATTTTTTTTATATTGAATATTATACAATCCATGTAAAAAATATTCACTTTCTACATATATTAAATAACCGATGCTAAATATGTTTTTCCTACAAGTTAATAGTTAAAAAAACTTAAATGATTTCAAAACATCTTTTACTTCTCACTCATTTAATAATTTTTTTATCCGTCAAGTTAATTAAAAAAATTAATTAATATAATTTAAGAACAAAATAATATCTTATTTAAACTTTTCTTTTCTTTCTCGTTAAAAATAATAAAACATGATTCGTGATTTTTCTTTTTGAAAGTTTAAAAAATGTTTCTTCTCTTACACATTGTTTAGTTGAATGAATGTGAGTTGAGAGAAAAAAAAAAGAAAAAGGTTTAGTTGTGTGAAAATAAGAAATGTAAGATGAAAATTAAGCATAGGCTGACTTTATGAAATTGCTTGTCGTTTGAATTCTTTGTTGCTTGTCAAAGATGCTCCGGAACAAAGATCCTAAAGCTGCATATATATCAATTAGTTGTATTCTTATAAACATTATAATAATTTTTACAAGATTAAAGCGGTTCTCTTTTTTATAATATGATTTTTTTTTCATTAATATGATATATACTCTTCCGTTTATACTCTTCGAGAAGTGTATTGTAAAAATATTTTGACATAAATGAACTAATAATATATATATATATATATATATATATATATATATATATATATATATATATATATATATCGTTAATTTTACCTCTTACCAACGAAAAAAAACGAAAAAGTAAAAAATAAATCGGGGAGATAAAAATAATTTTCTAAAATTACCATTTTCTTCTTTTTCATTAATTTCAAACCAAATACACATTCTTCTTTCATTTATTCCTTTCACTCACTTTAACCAAATAATCTAATTTTCTAACTATTTTTGTTAATTATTTCTCTTTTTTTCTCTCTTTTAATCCCATTTTTTTCCTTTCTTCCTTCCAAACAAAAACTTAATCTTTCCCATTCTTAAAATATAAATTTTAACACGCTTGTAATTAATTCACAATCATAAAAAAATTGGTTAATTTAATTAAAATTATTAAATTAGTATGTAATTTTGTTATTTTATTAAATTATCGAAAAATAATCTGCATATTTTGGTTATTAATGTGTGAAGAAAGGATAATAATAAGAATAACAAGAATAATAGTATTAATAATAATAATAACTGAAAATAAATATGCATATTTTGATTAGTGCATGAGATAGATAATTTTTATATAAAAAATAAAATTAAAACGATAAGTTATAATTAAAAAAATAAGGATGGGTGTGAAACACCGAAGTAAAGGAAGGAGCTAGCCTGTAAGATTTTCCCAGGATATTCGCCGGTCAACTGGAAACAAACACAGACACCACTAGTCAAATGCATGTTATTCACGTGTACTTTTAATGCAACAACGCTAACACAAAGTTAACGGATAAAATATTCAACATTTTATTTAATGGTAATAAATAAATAAATAAAATTAGACCAATTTTTTTTATTTTTTATGATAAAGACATAACTAAAATTTCTTGTTATATTTTAATTTTTTCAAAATAAAAATGGTTAATAATATTTAAGATTGTATTAATCATTTTTTATTTATTTTATTTATACAAATAATAAATTATTTGGATAGAGATTTTATACAAATTTATTAGATTTAATAAAAAATATTATTTATACAATATGGAGTAATTATTTTGAGTCCACCCTAACTAATTAATGGTTTGGGGTTAAAACTAAAATTCCACGTCAAGCTAAGTGCCTTATCCAAACAGCATCTTTATTCAAAAAGTGCGATCTACAATTCCCAAATAGACGTAAGTTTTTTATGCAATTACCACCACTCCAAGGGACGAACAAAAAGAAATACCTTTGTTGCTATTGATTTTTGTGATTATCATCAACGAGCAAAGTAGACAATAATTGAAATTTCTTCAAGTTAATTATAAATAAGTTGAACATGTGCCAATAATTGTGAAATTTCTTAAATAGTGATTACAAGTTTAAGTTTTGATAAAGTTTATTACTATACTGTGTGAGCGAGTAATGTTTTTTAACGTCTAACAATGAATAATAATAAATAAATAAATAAATAAAATCAACATTTTAATTTATATTAATTCTAAAGTTTACCCAGTTTTTGACATTTTATTTCCATTGAAAATGTAATAAAAGGTTATAGAATCACAATTTAATTTGAAAACGACTTATTCTCCCTTCCTTTAGCATATCATCCATCCTTTTATATGGATGGGTTCGATTTCTCTTATGCTACTAAAATATTGCTTAATTAGTTAAAAACTCTTGAGAATGATAAAATTATACGCATTCTATAAATATTTGTAAAACTATTTTCAAATAAATATGATAAATATTTGTTTATTAGGATGAGTTCAAAAGTGGACATTGACTTGCACATTCTAATAAAAATATGTGTAAGTATTAATTTTTAGTACCCATCTCCTTACGTATTTGGGTACATAATTTTTCTTTCCTACCCTTAATATACAACTTTCTCCGATCAAATTATTCCTTTCTTATAGTATATATAATTAAAATATATCTTATATATTTAATCATATATTTTATTAACTATTAATTTAATTAATAAAATATAGTATTTATTTGCTAAAGACTTGAAGTTGAGGCTAAATTACAGTTGACGATTTTTCTTTTAATGTTGTTTAGTTATGAGTTATGTTTGAATAAATTGAGATTATTTGTGCGAGAATAAATATATAGGTTTTCAACGAATGTAAAATAAGAATTAAAATTATTATCTCCACCTACATATAAGTATACAAGTTTTCTTCTTCTTCAAACTCAAGTATGATGATGACATACTATGATACCCTACTCATAGTAATAAATATCTCTTAAGGGAATGTATGGTAGAAGAAAACTTGTTTGTTATGTATGAATCTTAAATCTTCTTAATAAATTAATATTTTAAAAGAATGATAGAATTTTTGTTTGGATGATAAAAAGTACATATACAATTTTTTCGAAATCAAAAGATAATGCGTTTTTTTAATCAAAATTTTTAACGTGTTACACTAGAAAATAAAAGTAACATATATTTTTTAGTAAAAAAAGTATTTTTACTTTTGAAAAATTAGTTTCAGCCTTTTTCATGGGAATATAAATATAAATTTACCACAAGCCATTCCAGAAAAGCCTTGTTTTCCGATAATTTTATTTTAAAAAATAAATTAAATATTCAAATTTGTATATCTCTTTCTGTTGACAGTCTTGATATATTATTGACACCTCCGATGATATTTGGAGTTCTATTTTGCCACTATGAAAAAAAATATTATCTAAATAATTTGACCTATGAAATTATTACTATGATAGATAATTGTTTATTTGGAATGACACGTTTGATAACATGGCATGATCTAAAAATACACACGTCATTGAGGGTTCGATTAAGGTTTTTTGGCGTTATTTATTGCGTTAGCAAGGGAGGAATTATTGACGTCGCTAACCTGATCCAACAAACAAAGCCACGGAAGAAGAACCCACAATTTGACCAACATCGCTAGCTGTGAGTGAAGACAGAGAGTGCCCACTTTCAAACAGTATGAACTAACCCAAGAAAATGGGATTAACATATTCACACTGGTCTCTTCACAACCGTGTACGTGCCCCTTATAAAACTCTCTCAGTTTCATCTAATCTTGCAACGTTGCTCCCATCTCCCAACTATCTAAACAACAGACACTTCACCATCTGCATCTTTCTCTGCCTTTCTTTCTTCAAATCAAGGTAACCTTTTCTGTCTTCCTTCCCAAACACGTCACTATCTCCTCCCGCCCCATTTCTCCATCATCAACCAATTTTTCAGATTTTTCCATACTCCTAGACTCATTCTGATAACTCAGAACTGTGTGTTTCAAAAAGTAGATCATCTTCTAAGGTCTATTGACTTTCTTTTTTTAATTCTCAGCTTCAACTTCTACTTCGGTTCATCTGGATAATGATATCTTCAAATTGGAACGATTAAATAGCTTGATTAGTTTAATAAGGGTCGATATATTTCGGAGGTTTTGATTGTCTCTCGTTCTTATTTTCAGTGTGTGTATACCGAGGTGAAGGATGACACAAATCTCATCGACCATGTACTTGCCTGAATTTGTAAGCGCACTGTGTACTCAACTCAACCATACATAACCTTTGATTTGAAGGAAACTGACCAGTCACAATCTTGAGTCTTACCTTACCACTTTTTTCGCATTAACAGGGAATGGAGGACCCCACTTTGTTTCATCAATACTCGATGGATTCCTTTCCATTACAGCTCGATGATTTTGACTTTGAGTCCTTCTCCGCGTCCCCAAAGGATTCTTCCTCTCACATGCGCTTGAGCTCCGAAAGCACACAAAACTCTTCCCTCACTCAAAGCCCCGAAACTTCAGTTGCCCCACCAAGACCAACCAAGCAACCCAAGACTACTATGAGTACCTGGAATGCTTACGGAACTGACATGATGGCTGCCAAGGCTGCTTCCTCTTCATCCTCCAAAATCATCTCCTTTGAAAACTCCAATGCATCTTCTGTTTCTTCCCAACAATTCTACAACCAAGATGCTGCCAAACTACTGAAAAAGCCCAAAATTGAAACCGGGTATGGTGAGAACTTGGATTTTGCAGCTCTAGCTTGTCAAAGTGCCTATGACAACAATAGTTTTCTAGACTATGATAAACGAGAGAAAAAGGCTGCAGCTACAATGGCTAGAAACCCAACCCAAGCTCAAGATCACGTCATAGCTGAAAGAAAACGAAGGGAAAAGCTCAGCCAGAGGTTCATTGCTCTTTCGGCTATAGTTCCTGGACTCAAGAAGGTACCATTTGAAAAACTTCACGCGTGACTTTCTTTTATACGATAGCTGCAACATGATTTTAAACTTAGAACTTCGCACAAATTGGTCCATTCTGGTGGATTAAATTTCATGCATGATCCTTGTATATCAAACACAAAATTCTAAATTGAATTCCCGGAAGAGTAAACGCTTTTGCAATTACTGTAATCATATAAAATTATGAACAAACATGGCTGCTGCAGTTTTAATTTCGGTAACTGAAACATCCAAAATATTGTGGCTGTGTTTTGAAACCTTGAAATGAAATACATATCTTCTACTTTAACTGGGAGCAGAGAACTACTCAAATCAATGAACTAATGAAAAATTTAGTGACGGAAAGTTAATGTCTTTTCACTATAATTTGTAGGATAGCTGAGGTTTAGTGACAGTTTGTCACTATGGATGGAGAAACAATTTGATTTCAACCGGCTAGGTGAAATTGGTAATCATGTTTGTACGTGAATGTTCTTTCTTATTAATCAATGAATGTATGCATGCAGATGGACAAGGCTACTGTCTTGGAAGATGCTATAAAGTACGTGAAACAACTACAAGAACGGGTGAAGACTCTGGAGGAACAAACTGTGGATAAAACAGTTGAATCTGCAGTCTTTGTGAAGAGATCTGTTGTCTTAGCCAGTGATGATAGCATCTCCTCCGGTGAAAACTCCGACCAGTCACTACCCGAAATCGAAGCAAGAATTTCTGGTAAAGAGGTACTCATCAGACTCCACTGCGACAAAATCAGTGGACGAGCAGCTACTATACTAAGGGAATTGGAGAAGCATCATCTCACAGTTCAGAGTAGCAGCTTTTTGCCTTTTGGGAACAATACTCTTGACATAACTATCATTGCAAAGGTAAATGTACTAACTTCATTTTTTAAAGAATCATCTCAGCATTTCCGTTAACTCAGATATTTGGAGAAGTTATCTTGTAGTCTCCTGTCCTATGATCTCAGTCAATCTTTACATATGATACATAACAGTCAGGTGCATAATATAAAATGTAATACTAGGTAGCACACACTGTGTCCAGGCAAAGTATTCGATTAGAATTTTCAGATGATCTTATAAGTTTTTCTACGCATTTTCACTTATTGATCAAACTTGTGTTTTCTTGCAGATGAACAAGGAGTACTGCTTGACTGCAAAGGATCTCATAAGAAGCTTAAGCCAGTGTTTGAGACAGCTCTCATAGCAAAAAAAAAAAAAAAAAACAGTTCGTGCACCCACTGATGTAGCTACATTAATTTTTTGTTGATCATGCTTGACAATAGGAAAAGAACTCAATAAAATGAGTTTTTATCGCAGATCTTTCTTTTTCCCTAGTCCATCTTCTGGATTTTGGAGTAACATGTAAATGGCCTGCGACTGGAAGTGTCTCCTCCAATGTACCTTAGTATACTTGGGTCTGTTTTGCTGCAGAGTTCAAGATGATGCCTAGTGTTCCCTTTTTCTCCATAGTTTTTGCGTAGTTGATTGATTAACTACGCTAATATACCCCATAATGGCATTTTCAAATCTCTACAGCAGTTGTTTATGTTTTTTCTTTAAAGAGGGGTTTTTGAGAGGATTTGACTATTCAAATAGACCTCTTTAGTCCCTCTTTCGCTTTGTGAACAGGGTCCAGTTTCATTGAAAAACATTGTTGGCAACATTTACTTTTATATTGTTCTCCAGGTGGGATTGTGATGACCACTTCTGTATAAGGTTATTATTGTTAATTGCTAAATGTCTATTTATTCATTTTTTCGAGTATTCTAATAATTTTTTTGGTTTAAACGAGATTCTCGCCATTTGGACTTATTTTGTTCAGGTTGAGAAGTGATGTAATTAACTAAGTTTTATCTTTTAAATTTGTTAACATATATAGTGAACCATTTCTCTTAAGATAAATGTGATTCAATAGTTAAAAGAGGAAACTTTTTTACTATCTCTCTGTGTTATATAAGACTCAAAGTTAAGTTTTTTTTTTTTATAAGATCCAATAGTTAATATCATTTTAATTAATTATTTTTAGACTAAAACACTCTTAATTAAAATTGAAAGATTGCTCTAGTAAACAGTTGAAAAATAATTAACATAGCTAAAAAGTTACTTATTTTCTGTAATTTTTTTTAAATAATTTAAATTTGTAGGAAGTTTATGTCTTATTATTTTTATAAAAATATTTATATCAAATATGAGAATTTCTAATGATAAAGATAAGTTTAAAAAATATATGTATATTCACATCAAATTTATAGATATGAACTAAATTTGTCAATAATCTGCTAAATCTTAAACTAGTATATTAAAATGTTACTATATTTTACTAATAATTAATACATCAACAGTTGCAAAAGAAGTTGATTAATTTTAATGATTGCCATTTTATGATGGGTCCACGTGACATTGTCATAACTATTGAAATTTAATATGGAAAACCACTTAAACCTACCCAAAATTTGAGATCTACTTGCTAATCTTACAATCATTTAAATAAACATGTAGTGGCACGCTTTCTTCAATGTAGATCAAACTTTTGTTGATAGCGCAAAGTTTATATTATGCTGTTGGGCACAATATATTCTTAAATTCACGATTTAAAAATGTTTATGTAAATTTAAGTGAATATTAAAATAATATATTTTAAAGGATATTTATTTAGGTTTACATGTATTATTTGCATGTTGTCAACATGTTTCAAAATGCTTAATTATGAGAAAAATAAATATGAAAAAATTAATCTTAAAATAAAAATAAATAATATATATATATATATATATATATATATATATATATATATATATGCACGAATTCATGAGAATATATTTAACTTATATAAAAATAATTTGTGTTGCACGACATCATGTTCTTTAAATTATTATAGTTAAAACTAATATAAGAATGTTTAATGCTATCTGGACATAAAATTAGTTATCTTTATAATTATTACATAATAATTATATATCAACCATTATGTTGCCAAGTTGATGTTGATCAGAGCATGATGAATCGCATCCTCACATAGTGAAATGGCGTACGAATGCTTCGTGATTTTATTTTAAAAATTAAATATAGATTGGGATTTGATGTCTCATGACTCATTCAAGATGTGCAAAGAAAAATTGGCAGGAGACCTCAACCCCCAACCCAAGAATGCAAATATTTTTATATATTTCTTATTGATGGATAATGATTGTTACATAACTCTAATAGCATTTATATATTTTTATAATTTTATGCATTATTTTTGTTTTTATTAGAGATTTTCAAATATGGTTTGTTACATTTATGTGCATTAATTAATGGATAAAAAATTAAAATGATTATAAAAATATTATTATTATTATTAAAATAATTTTTATGTACGAGATATTATATACAGACTTTTACGATTTTATTTTTAAAAACTCTTCAACTTATTAAGAAAAATAATTTATATAAACCACTTTTAACTTATACACGTATATAAACTCATGTACAAAGTAAGATTATATGCCAGAATCAAATCACTTTTAGTTTTTGCATTACAGTAGAGAAAAGGGGAAAATGCTATGAATAGAAGAGTGGAATTTTATGCCTTAAACAGCAGCGGAGAGATCTCGGAGGAAGCTTTGACGAGAAGATGGCTGCATTATTTTAAACTCCAAACTTAACAAAAACGATCCACCAAAAACAAAACTTAACTAAGACTGCATTATTAAGTTTTCATTATTAAAAAACTAATGTGCTTAATATATTGTTTATTACGATAGTGATAGTTATTTTTTTTTTTTCTACATCTTTAATTAAATGATCATGAAATCATGATACACGTGATTGTGATGACAAGTACAACACTAAAACAGTTGTCACAAGTTTACAAGTATTAATCATTAAATTTCAATTTAATTTTTCCATTTTATACTTAATTCGAGTAATTAATCTACAATCAATAACTAACAACAATGCTATATATTGAATAACAATATTAATGGTAACAATAGTGATTTAGAGGAGTACATGGTAATTCTTACGTGCTTTTTCACCCTTTCCTCTGTAAATTTTGATATCAATTTCTTACTCATACCATAGTATATAAAATTAATGTAAATATTAAATTTTAAATCATTAAAATAAGATAATATGATAAAAATTCATTATATTTATACACAATACTTAAAAAAAACGACAACTCATTATGTTTTATTTAATAATTTTTTTCTTTATCTCTTTCCTTATTATCGATTTCTATCATTTACACTTTTTGTTTTCTTCTTTCACTTCTCTTTTCTTAAATATTTCCTGTACAAATAACTTAAAATAAAAATTATTTTTTTAATTATACTTAATTTTTTTTTAAATAAATAAATTATTGAATATATTTTAAATTATTTTATTATTAATAATATGTTTAATTATTTTCAAGCTTTATAATTTTAATTTTGACTAATGTAAAAATTTGTTCATTAGATTAAATAGTTTACTAAATATAAAAAAAGTTAATTATTTATTTAAAATAAATTATACAAACTTTATCATAAAAAAAATTCTACTCAAATATTTATACCAGTTTAAAATAATTTTAAACATGCTAAAAGATCCATTTATGTATTTTATTATATATAAATTATATTATATTATATTATTATTTAAAACAAATTCATGAATATATTTTTTAATATATTTTTTTATTTCTGGATTATGTGATGAAGGTAATTATAGAGAAAAAGATATGAAAGAAAAAAAATGCATGATGAATTATCGTATTTTAGATATATACAAATATGATATGTGGTATAAATGCAATAATCATTCTAGAATTATTGACAGAAAGATTTATATATTTTTATATAGTTATACATCACATTACATATAGTTTAATTTTATCTTAATTATTAAAAATTGAATTATTTTTGGAAAAAAAATGTATGATAATGTATAAATTCTTTAACCACTAAACTGCGTGTAAAGGAATAATAAGGATATGCTTTGTTTTTCTTTTTAGTTTTTAAGTTAGGTTAAATAAACAAATTTGTTCTTTTAGTTTTTGAACTAAAAGAACACCTTTTTTTCAATTCTTATAATTTTATTTTAAATTTTTTAGTCTGAGAGTTTTGATAAGAGATTAAAAGTTGCATGTATAAAAGCTAAAAGGGATTAAAATTAGAACTAATTACCCCTGTTGTTTCTAACCACTGAATTACATAGGTCATTTATCTCTCCCCGCAAAAAAAAAAAAAAAAACATTTTATATATTTATTAAATCAATTTGAAGAAAGATTTTGTGGGGAGCATTGACAAGCAGAAGAGATTAAGCATGAGAATACAGAACTTGATGTTATCATCATCTTTGGCATAAATGAGGCAGTTCTCGGGTAGAATTTTGCTACCATAGTTGCATAATAGCTTGAACTTGTAAGTAAAAAGAAGGGTATACTCCAGTCATTTTTTTAAATAATTTTAGGTTTAATATATAATTTAATTCCTAGATTCGTGCTAAATTATTTCTCAATTTGATTCCCACTCTTAAGAACTCATAAAATGAAGCCCATATGTATAAAAAGTTGTGGCTTTAAACGTTCTTATTTTAATTCTTATACATATATAACACATTTTAAACATGATACTGTTTTTGATGAAATTTTTGGTTGTTTTGATTTCCTCGAGACTAAGTTCTAATCAAATTTCAGTCACTGTAAGTTCTCTTTATTTAGGCTAGTAAACAGTTTTTCAATAAAAAAAATGTATGAAAATCGAAAATATTAAAAAGCATGCAACCTGAAATCGAAAGTTCTTTTTTTGTATTTTTTTTATTAAGAGACTCGAGAATATGAAAATCAACAGAAGTAAAGAAAGCAGTAAAAAGGTGTCGAAGCAAAAAAGTAATACATAAAGTTAAATTGCACAAGAGTAAATGACCAAGTAATCGAAATAATTGAAAGTACAAGAAAGTAAATTTAACTTGTAAGTAGATAAATTACTGGAAAAGTAAAGAAAAACGTTAAAAGATATCGAGACGAATGCAGAATTTTAAATTGCATAAAAGTAAATGACAAGGAATTGGTAAAAGATATCGAGACGAAAAGTAATGCAGAATCTTAAATTGCACAAGAGTAGATGACAAGGAATTGACATAACTGGAAAGTACAGACAGATGAATTTAAATTGCATTAAAGATAAATTATCAGTACAGAAAGCGTTAACAAAAGTCAATAAAAGTGGAAATCCAAA